AAACAGACTGAAACCGACAAAAGCGGGATAAATGAATAGAGTCAAAAGACTTCGACTAATGGTTGGTTCCTTTTCTCCCTTTCCCGAGGAACAGTCGGATAACCCCCAAAACCACAATCAAGTTGAAAATCAGGCACCCCTTCGCCGAAAAGCAGCAAAGTCGCTCACAAACTGGGTGTGCATTGGTTCAGGGATCTACTTCGGATTCTTATCTCGGACTTCCCACAAAATTGGAAACCGATAACTGGCAGCCTCACACCAGGGTTCTCCGTCATATTCCTTGCTGGATCTTGAAGGCTTGGGGGAAGGGATAGCTGTTGTGCAGCCCACTAAACGGCAACTGATCAATGGCTGCAACCCACTAAAGCCAAAGCCGCTGCTTGCGACACGGGGCTTGCAAGTGGCACCAATGACAATGCCACAAGATTGAAGGTGACACTCCCCGACTTTAACTGGTCTGCCATGTTCGCGAAAAGTGAGACACCCTCCGGCAGGCTTCCATTTTTTGACAACAACGCGGACTTCAACCCAGTCTTTGGTTTTTTCCCAATGAAAAGAAACCTTGGGTTCAAAATTGAAACTTTCTGCGCCAGTCCCAAAATCCGGCGGAAAGAACGGCCGGTACTGCACCCACCTCTCGCCCCGCAGCTCGCCCCCGCAGCTCGCATATCTCGCGCGGCGAACGAGAGGACGGCACTAAGGGCACCGCCCAAACACAGCCCCATCTGCTCCACCCAGGCGGTATCACCTGGCGATGCGCCGGCCGTCCAGCCTGTCAGAACCTGCACGGTGCTTGTGTGACTCCTTTTTTTGAGGGAACCCCCATTTGCTGGCTGGGTTTTAAAGGGAAACCAAAAGGAAACTAGGCAAACATGTGGGGCGTGTTTGTTTTCAAAAGGGGTACCAAAAGGAAACTAACCAAGCAATGGGGGCTCCACCTATTTTAAGACACATCCCGTGAGTGCGGAGCTAAACGCGAAGCCCTACAAAAAGTCGAGCAGGGGCTTACGCCAAGGGTGCAGCTGTTCGGATCTCCAACAAACGACTCGCGCATACTCACGTAAGACGAAGTCCGAAAAAGACGGCAGCAGCATCTCTCTTTCCGGGAGTATGAGAATGCAAGAGACCAACACGGCCACGAAAGCCGATGACCGCACGCGCGATGTCTCTTTTCAGAATTGGCTTATTTAGGTCGATTACGGTATCTGACTAGTGTCCTGGTTAATGTGGACCCCTCTGCAACAAGCTCAACTTTTTGTGGGTCCAATGGAAACCCACGGTTTCAACCGAAAACTTAAAGTCCACAGGTCCCACCAGAAAGCCATAAAGGTACGGTCCGAGATCATCTGAAGGCAAGTTATCAACGACGTCGCTACTCAATCACCTTCCCTCCACTGGTCGGCCTTCACCACAGGTCATCTGCTGGTCAAAGGAAAACACCACGTGGTCCTCCGAGATGGAGCGGCGCACGCCTCAGGCAAACCGGCCACAGCAACGCAGATAGAAACCACGCGCAGAAGCCCAATAGCCACATGCACACGCAAACATAAGGGCAAACAGCCAAACAGCCACAGGTGGTTTTCACAACAAATTTAGTAGCTTCCGGCTTGGAAAGGGTTGGCATAATGGAGCCGAGGAAGGGGGTGTCGAACCAGGGCACTAGGGGGTGTGACACAACTTGACCGGCTGCCTGGAGATGCAGACAAGCAAACAGAGAGAGAGAGAGAGGGAAAGCGCAAGAGAAAAAGAGAAGGGAGAAAAAGAGACAAGGAGAAAAAAAGAGAAGGAGATATAGGGAGCTTAAGAGAAGAAGACACAAAGAGTCTAAGCGTCTAAGAGAGCCAAAATTACAAAGAAACAACAAAAAAAACAAGAAACAAAAGGAAGCAAAAAGAACAAGGAAAAAGAAACCATGAAAGAGCTAGACCAGTGAATTGGGGCGAGCTTGTGCAGTTATGGACCTATGCAGCAATGTGCCATGTCGGAGTGCTGTAGTTCTGGTTTTTTACGGAGAGTTGCTGCTGACCTTGAAGAAAGTAGCAAAGGGGCTCGAGACAGGAACACCATTTGCGCGCAATGGCTTGGAACACGATTGGTGGAACATACTTGCGTTGAGATGTTCAAGTGAGGGCAATGTTTATTTGGGAGCATCATGTTAGGGCAAGTGAGTTGCGCTTGTTGAATATCATCCCCTGCTGCCAAGGCGATTTCCTGCCCTTCCTCATTTGGGATAAACCGGGCCTTGTTCCAGACCTTCAAATGCCAAGCGTTGCCTGCAACTTGGACATTTCCCCCTCCCAAGAGACAGATTAGCGACAGTTGGTCCAAAAAGTGATGAGTTTAATCCGGCTTTGGAGGGACAAACGTGGGGGACCCCTGCGGCTTGGCCCTCTGCCCAGCCGAGGCTCCGGCTGTCAAAGTAGTCCAGCACCAGGGAACGCCTGGGTTTATGGGGGGCTTTCGGACCAAACCATCGGCTCCAGAAGGAACCATCATCCCTCACCTCTGGGCAGCTTAGGCTGAGGAATTCGGAAAAGGTGCCCGCGCAACCTGCAAGGAGCCCACGCACGCGCACATCTCACACACACACACACAACAGCAACAGCAACAGCAGCAGCAGCAGCAGCAGCAGCAACAACAACAACAACAACAACAACAACAACAACAACAACAACAACAACAACAACAACAGCGACAACAACAACAACAACAACAACAACAACAACAACAACAACAACAACAACAACAACAACAACAACAACAACAACAACAACAACAACAACAACAACAGCCACAACAACAACAACAACAACAACAACAACAACAACAACAACAACAACAACAACAACAACAACAACAACAACAACAACAACAACAACAACAACAACAACAACAACAACAACAACAACAACAACAACAAAACCAACAACAACAACAACAACAACAACAACAACAACAACAACAACAACAACAACAACAACAACAACAACAACAACCACCACAACCACAACCACAACCACAACCACAACAACAACAACAACAACAACAACAACAACAACAACAACAACAACAACAACAACAACAACAACAACAACAACAACAACAACAACAACAACAACAACAACAACAACAACAAAGAAAAAAAAAGGAAAAAAAAAAAAAAAACGTGTATAGGGTTCGAGCATGTAGCATTCCAGCCCTGCCCTTGAAAGCCAAGACCCCTCCGGGCGTAGGGGCCCCGGCAGCGCTTGGCACTCTGGCGCCACCTCAGAAAGGGATCCCCACCAGTCATAACTTCCCTCCCATTAACATAGCACCTCACAGGGCGGTTCCTTTAAAAGGAAACTGATCTTCCAAGTACCCTCCCACAACTGCTATGTTTGTTCCCAAAGAGAATTCCTCCGAATGAGACATCCTGAATGAAAAGGCCCTTCCTGACACTTATTCGGAGGCTTGCTTGTTGTCGTCAGAGGGTAAGATGAGATGTATCTCCTCCTGCAGGGCTCCCTGTGAACCAGCAAGTAGCGCCGCTTTATCCATTGGCAGCGGGCCAGGCAGTGGATCTTTGTTTGGAACATGCGGCTTGACAAGGCGCATTGCCTCGGCCAAACCACCACCCAACCTTCTCCGAGGGCACCAGACTGTTCAAAGATAACAGGCCACGTGCCGCGGTGACATGCCATGGCACATCAACATGCGGGTTTCTCAAAATAAGGGTCCCCCTTATCATGGTTAGTTTAACCTCTGGTGGTTTCCCTCTAAAAACCCTCCAACAAGGGGTCCGCCATTTTGAGGAACCCCCCCCCACACGGCAACCAAAGCCAGCGGCTCCCTCCGGCTCGGAACACCGGCCAAAAGCAAGGTCGCGGAGGCGGCCTTGAAGGTGCCGCAGTCGACACCTCGGCCATGTGCCCAAGTGACCGGCTGCAGTGACCAAGGGGAGGGCTTCAAAAAAAGGGGGGGTCTCCTCTGCAAATGAATAGGCGTCAAAATTAAGCCACAAAGTGGCAGGTCTTGGTCTATGTGTCCATTTGCCAGGGTTCCATTGTGGGCGCCTATTCTTGACCCACACCCGAATGAGCACTTGTGGAGTTCCACGTTAAACTGGAGGTGAGTCCTACCTTCTGGTGTCCAAGGTTTTCTCCACACTTGAAGCGCATCCTGGCCCCACACCGAAAGGCAGGCAGGGACCCTCGGCGAGGCCACTGTAGTGCCTGTGGAAAGCGCATGCTTCGCTCTGCTGCAACATCGACCTTTCCGCGAAAAGTGAGCCTTTCCAATGACCGCCGAAGATGTGCACGACCCCACAAATCACGAGACAAACAAGGGCATGGCAAGCAAGTAACAACCTCAGGGAAGGTTGATTAACAGCCACAAGCTGCAAAGCATTCAAAAGGGCAAACACGCACGTGGAAACCAATCGGCCAATATGTTGGTGCCCGCTCCTGGATGCAAGGGAGCCATGCAAAGGCCCCACCAGGACCCGCCGCAGCAAGGCATCCTCAGCAACAAGGTCCAGGCAGCTCGCAGTAAACTGCAGGCGGACATCAATCAAGTTCAGACCCTTGTCAAATAGACAAGAGACATGGGTCTATCTTGTTTTGGGGGGATCCGCCCAAAATGGCAATAAGGTGTTCCTTTTGGCCAGCTCCAGCTTCATTCCAACACCATCAAGGTCCTCCAGTAGAGAGCTTAGAATAAGGGTACCCTTTGTTCTGTAGTCTATTTTAGCAGCGGAACCCTCCCAATCAAACAAGGGTAAAAGGGAACTACTGGGGGACCTAGCCACCAAGGGGAACCCAAGAAAAGATGCCCCCCCCCCCTGGCGGGGGACGCGGAAAATTCTCGGGGCAAAGGCGCCATGATGGCGGCGATGGCCGCTGACACCACCACCCGGGCGCCGTCCGTCTCGCGGCTCGCACGCAAAGTGCAGCACACCGCGGCAAAGTGGCGCCTCGGGCAAAGTTGTTTGTTTATCCCCCCCCCAAAAAAAAAAGATGTTTTTTTGAAAACCACTGGGTTTCAGCCAACGGCGCACAACCAGGCGCGGAAAACCAAGCAGCTTGCTACATGTAGAGGAGAGGCCCTTAAGCACAGCAAGCTGCGCGCCGGCGTTGCCCGAAATCCCCAAAATTACTGGATGCGTCAAGACCACATGGGACACATGCCCTGGGCTCCCGGGTTTCCGCCTCCGCATGCTGCTCGAGAATTGAAACATGCCGAGTGCGAGACGCGATCAGGAACAAATGTCTCATCAGGTCAGCCTGGTTCCGCTGCTGTGCAGCATTCAGAATGGGGAATCGCCTCCTCACACAGGCTGAACCCCCCCACCCACACAAAAAAAGGGAATCAGCTCTTGCAAATGCCAGGTCCTTGCGGCACCCTACACCATAGGCTCACACTGGGCCGTTTCCCGCGCCTAGCAGCAACAAAAATGAAACATGGTTTAACAAAGCTGGACCCGGGTCGTTGCAAGCCTTCGTCTCCTGCTTCATCTCCTGCATCCAAAAGCAGCCGCTTGCCTTGCGCCGTTGGGAGCTCGCTCCACAGAGGGAGACAGAGAGAGAGCGAGCCCCTCTCGCAGTCGATCGAGCAAGCGTTGTACCAGATTCCTAGCTGACATGTGCCAAGGAATCCACGAGCGAGCAGAAGCTTTGGGCCCCTGGTTGACAACATTTTCTGGCGGATGGCTCGCGCTGAGGCCAACCCAAAATCTGGCATCCCCACCACAAAGCTGAGAAATGGCCCGCAATCAGCTTGCCAGCTGCTCAAAGAACATGGAATTCCTTGCCGGAAAAAAAAAGGAAAAAGAAAAAACAAAAAGAAAAAAACTCCTTCCCAACGGTGGAGCCTCGAGGCACTACTCTGTCGGACCGTAGACTAAGCGTCTAGTCTTTCACTTTGGCATCCGCCACAAAGCCTCCGCTTCGGTCCGGCGATGTCCGGCGCCTTGGGGTGGTCCAGCGGAAGCGGCATGGGAAGAATCTGCATCCTGAAGTCGCGGACCCCAAAAAACCTCAGGGAACAAAGGCAACTTGCTTGGGCACAGTTTGGGGATCTTCTACTGCAGACTACGGAAGAAGCATTTTCTGCGGAGTTTTCTTGTTGCAGCATTTTGTGAGAGAAAAAGGCCCATCCTGAACGCAGAAATGGGCACTGCTCGGAAAGGATGTGCTTCTTTTTCCCCATTCCCGTCCCTTACCTTCCCTTACCTTGCTGCTTGTGCATCTACATACATGCGGTGCAATCCGCAGATCCTCCCTCCAGTGGCCAACGGGAAGATAAATCGGAAAGAGCTACACAGGAGCACCAACCGGAATCCACAGGAGGACCCCTGGTTGACTTGTGGGGACCCCGTTAAGCGGGAAATCCCCATCTAAGACGCGGAAAAAACGCCGCTGCACCCACCCACCACACCAGGCTTCAATGTTGTGGCCCTTTCGCACCAGGGACCCCGCAGGAGCCGGGCGATCAGCGCGAAGCGCGTCAAGGCCTGGGCAAATGTTCTCTCATCCGACGCCCGCGCTTGGCGGGCGTGGCTGAGACTGCGCGCAGGAACACGGTCAGACACACAGTCGCCCAGTCCCGACTGGAAACGAGGTGAAGAAGACCTCACCTTTCCAATCTGACGGCAGCAAGTTGTGGGGATCGGATTTCCGAGCGCCCCACAGACTGGGAGATGTGCTCGAACTGATTGCAGAGAAGGGTGAGCCTCAAGTGAAACATGTTGCGGTCCACTAACAAATCCACTCGGCCGGCCGGGGGGTAGCATTGTGCCAAGGCCTGGGCTGTTTCAACATGCTTTGCCTGGGCTAAGAGGGTCCCACTCGGGATCGTCTAAATGGTCGCCAAACCCCAAGATCGAGTGTAGAGAGTCATCCCGGCACCATCTGCGTGGCGCCACATCCACACAGCAGTAATGCCTCATGCTAGAAGTAGTACCGTCGGTTTGACCTCATTCCGAAGTAGCACTGCTCCATTCCAAGAATAGTGTTGCCCCGTTCGACAACTCCATCACCCAGCTTAGTATTGATCTAGTACAGGCGAAGTCTCAACTACCAGTAGCATTGTCCAATCATGGTCCTAACGCCAGTTCAGCCAATTTCAAAGTAGCACTGCCCAACTCTGAAGTAGCAGTTCAGACTGCAGTAGCCGCCTCCAATTAAAAAAATGTGGTGCAAAGTTCGGTGTTGTTCACAAATATTCATATGGACCTTACCGATCTTGGCAAGGAGGAAGGGGGGTCGCGCGGGTCTCGCCACGGGATGGGCTAGAATTGTCTTGCCAAACCGTGCTCAGGACCCTTTTTTGGCACAATTTACTTTGGGTTGTGTCATAATCTGAACCCTCAAATGGCGGCTTTCCTTCGTGCACTCTGGTCTCTCTGGTCCTTCGCGGTCCGTTTGTTCAGGACAATGGACCCAAACCAGGACCCCTGGAGGAGGGGAGGGCAAGCCAAGTGAAGAGCGCACCAACGCGCAACCCTCTGCGCGCCACTGGGCGCAACCGCGCAACCGGGCCCCGCACAAGTGCACGGCTAGGCGGCAGCACTCGGCCGCCTCGAAGGGATCGCGCACTGCCTCAGGCGACCCAGGGCGAAACTACAATCCCGTGGTGCTAAACCATGTTTATTGGAATGCCATCTAAGAACCAACTGAGCGACACCCCAGCCTGAGACACTCAAAAGGTGAACGATGGCCCCTCGACCCCTGGTGGCAGGCTGCGTCGAAGAGGCGCCTATCCGACCGGCGCGTTCTCTCCAACCCAGCACTTGCTCCAGCTGGTCCCCGAGATGGGGGTGACTTAACATGGAAAACTCCAGAGAAGGTGGCGACCGCAGGCAAAAATAAACATATGTCCAGTAGTGATAGATTCCCATTAAAACCAACAGGGGAAAATAAAATATATTCATTGCAGCAAATGGAAGTCCCTGTGGTCTGAATTTGAAACCAAGCTGAAAAAGGAGCCCGCCAACTTCTGGGGAAGCAGCCAGCGGAAGCTCGCTGGTGGGCACGGAGATGGAGACCCTGGCCGGGTCCACCTGCTCAGCGCGCGGAGTGCCTAGGCTGTGGTCCCCTTGAAACCCACGATGGTTTGTAAGGCTCCTTCCCATCCAACATCCAACATCAAATGACAATGATTCATAATGATATGAATGATAATAATGACCATAATGATAACAATGATAATAATAGTGAAAAGAGAAGAACCCCCCCCCAAAAAAAAGAAGAAGAGCCCAACATCAAAATACAAACAGCGCTCATTCTCGGAGACATCTCCTTTTGGGACCCTTTTTGGGGAAAAAGGCGTTCAACTGGACCAAGCAAAAACCCTCCCACCAATTAACATGGAACCTGCGGTTCGGGGGGCTCTGAAAGTTACTTTCTTGTTAAACGGAACCCCTGTGGTATTGCAATATATGATGCTTGCGTTCATGGACACTAAGAGAATGATATTTGTTAAACGCGTTATCGCAAGAACTCCCCCTTGCAACCCAATAGAAAAATGCGCCCCACGTCTTCTCCGCTGAATGCCCAGCCCCATTGGGAAAAGAAGGTCCAGCTCGCTCGAGCACAAAGCCGCGCCTCCCCCTTCATCCCCTCCACATCTTGCTCCTGGCAGGCTTTGGGGGCACTCCTGCCTGACGGGCGGGTTCTTAGAGCTAAGAAAACAGTCCGCGGCAGCCCTATCCTTTACCGCGCACTCAAGCAACTAGACGGTTCCATCCCGGTTCTGTGGTCTATTTTAGGGGAACCCTCCCCTAAAAAAGGGTAAAAGGGCGAGCTGTGGGACCTAGTTTAGTTGACCCAAACCCAGTTGCAAAAGCGCACGCCAACAGGACACCTCCGCCCGGAGATCGTTGGGTCGCCCCAGTCGCCCCGTCCAGCAAGCGCTCGAAGTCGTCGAAGAGCAGCTCCGGGCTGGGCCGCTGGCTGGTCAGCTCGGGGCAAAGTGGCGGCAACACCTCAGCCCCCGGTCTGCTTCAAGGAAACATCTGATGGAGGCCCAGGGCAAGCAATCGAAGCCAAGCAAATGCAACCCCCAAACTGCGAAGACTGGAAACATCTGAAATCAGCTGAGGGCAACATGCTCGAAGTCAAGCAAAAAGGCAAATGCAACCCCCAAACTACACAGCATCGGTGTATTTTGTTTCTCCCACATCCCGTGACTTTGGCTTTTGGGAGAAGCCAAGAGCCCAGCGTATATACCAACCCAACCCCTCTCACTGACTTGAGCACTTGAGCACTTGGGGCTGGGCACATGCCCAGCCCCCCACCCCGCGCCAAGGCAGCAGCCGGGGACCCCGGCGCTGCAGGCGGAGCGCTCAGCAGTCTCCAAGCGCCAGGCGCGGTCCTGGCGACAAGCTCCATAGGGAAAAATCCTCCGCCGGGAAATCAAAACCAAGGGAGCCCCCGAAGAAAAAAGAAGAAGAAGAAAACAAACAGCGGTTCCTAGAGCAACCCAGCGATTTTCATGCAAGGGTCACTGGATTTCTCCCCATAAGCAATTTCATGCAACCGCTTTTTGGCGGTGCCCAAAAACGGAAATGGAGGAGACCTGTGGCCCATTGGGAGTCATTGCCTCAGACTGAGCAAGGTGAACCCCATATGTTCACAAAAGGAGTGCCACCGCGACGGACAAACTTGCGGTTCTTGGTGATGGTTCCCCAGGTCCAAAGTCCCCCCCCCAAAAAAAGGCGCTAACCCCTAGGGTGTGTCGATGGCGCATCTGGTCCTCAAAATGGTGGACCCTGTTGGAGCAAACCCCCCAAAAACGCCCCATAAAGCGGGCCTTCTGAGAAACACCTGACCCCGCGCGCGTCGATCCTGGACCTTCTGCACCAAGGTGCGCAGGGCGTCCATCTCCCAGTGCCGGTACCGCTCTCCAAACCTTTCCGGAAAGATCGATCGCGCGTGAAGCACCACGGCCCCGTTGGGCGCTGTTTCGGGAGTCAGGGCTTCATCCGCCAAAGGGTACCCTCCCCCAGATTAACATGGCTGTGGGTCAAAAATCGTGCCCAAAATGGGTTGCCCTGGCAAATGGAAACAAGGACTAAAGCCGGCGGTTTCGTAGTGGATTGATTTTGACCCATGCCCACATGGAAACTCCCATGGAAGACTTGGTTCCATCTACACAGCCTTCTGGAAGCTTCCACCCTAGTCTGAGGGAGCGTATGGCATCGCATTGGCGTAGGGAACCATCCCCCGTATTCCATCAGCACTTTGTGGCCCAATCCTGGCGCCTCTCAAACATGGCGGCTCCGCTCATCGACCTGGGTTCGACAAAGCGCGAGCCAACGGATGCCAACGGAAGGGACATTGAGTCATTGGTGGGTGAGCGGGCTGAGAAAAAATGAGAAACATGACATCCAAAGTCCGTGCTTTGACTGGGGGGTCCACCATCATCTAGCTCCATATCAGACAATTTATCCGAGCATCTGAACAGGCTTTTTTCATCAAACTTGGAAGTGTGGAAGGCAGTTGGAAGACTGTCATGTAAAGAAGGCCTCCTGTCCAATTCCGGGATTGTTGGAAAGAGGGTAAACGGTTTGATGGAATTCTGGCGCATGCGCAAGTGCCCATTGTCCTATGATAGAGGCCCGAATAATATCTGGCGCTAGCTCTGCGAAGAACACCGCAGTGTTGCGGTGAACCAAAACCACGGCTCGACAAGGACGATGCTTCAGCAGTGGCTTTTCACCGAATTGCATGCACCGAATTCCCACCGAAAGCGGGTCGCTTTGGCTCCCCGAGCCAGCCCTGAGCCCTGGAATCCGGACGTCAAACCGCCGGGCGCGCCGCTTCAAACCCAGGTCTCCTGGGCTCGTCATCTCAGGTCTCCGGCGGCTTCGCTTCCCAGCAGCTCAGCAACGTCAGCAGCGCCGCCAAGCAGATGGGAGCACAGAAGGCGTTGCCCGCCATGTCGCTCAGCTGGGCATCAGATAAGTACCTCATGCAAGCAAGGGGTGGCAGAAAAAAGGAGCGGCAGCCAACCAAATGGTGGGTGTCCGTTTGGCCTTCCTTCAAACCAACCCCGGAAAGTGGGTTGGTCCGAAAGAGCTTAGCATCAGCTTGGGCCCAGCAGCTTTTCCATGGAATAACTTTGGATCTCCTCGAGGCCGACGCCCTGCAGCATGCACTTCTCCCTAGTGCCTGGGGATCGACGAACCGTCCATTTGACCCAAACCGATCCCAGACGTGTCCGACAATTCCTCCTTCTTGTTTCCTGAAAAACTGGACCAACCCCGCCACTTTCACCAGACCAACCTCGTGAAACTGGACCAAACCGCTGAAAAACTGGACCAAACCCGCCACTTTCACACGACCAACCTCCCACCGCGACTGCACTCAACTCGCTCGTCGCTGCCCCGCCTAGGAGGCGCCAGTGGGGCCCCGTCACCACATACTTGCCCTTGGGGATGATGCAGGGCGTGACGTTTTGGGGGTTCGATCTGTGCCACGACCTGCCGAAGTTCTGATCCACCTGGATGACCTGAGAGAGCTACGCAAGCAAGCCGCCAAGGAGCGCCCACGAAACCCACGCATGTTGGGCTCCAGAATTAGCAACTCGAAAACATCCCCAGGCCAGGTAGAACCACCTTGTCCTGTGAGCGGGCTGCTAGGAGGAGCTCCGGTGCCAAGAGGTACCATCTAAATTGCCAAGAGTTTGGGGCACGGCACAGCCCCAACCGAACCACTCCCAGAGAAGCTGCTGAAGAATGAACAGCCCCCTTGTCTCTTCTCGGGGTTCTGGGATGGCTTGGCGAGAACAGCAAGGTATGAAACGCCTTGCAGTGGGGCGTGGCATTGCTTAACAAGTTGCTCTTGGTGGCCAGCATGCGCTGGTCAATGAATACGCGTCAAACATTTTCTTGTGTGGCTGTTGTTGCAACAATCGCACAAAAAAACTTGCCACTTGATTACAAGAGAGAGCAAGAAAACAGAGATCTGGCCAGCTCACTGTCTTGAATGTGGCCTTCGACAACGGCCCATGATTTCGCATCCCGAGTGGATGCAAAGATCGATCCAGCAAGGAGTGAGCACTGTGACCCTAAAAAAGTGAAGGGGGCCCAGCGCAAAGTTTCCTTCAATCCGGCCTTGGTTGCAACACCAAAGCAACACAACATCGAATACTCGAAATGTTACCCAATCCAAGACACTCATTTCTGAAGAGCACCGTGAGGCGTTCGCCGAGCCAAGAATGTTGCACTTCCCCCAACTCCCTCCCCTAAAACGGTTGGTTCCTTTTGACCCATACCCCCCCCCCCCCCGGCCCCACCACACAACCCCCCCCCCCCAAAAGGCTGCCAGGCCAAAGCGCCACCAGGTTTCGGTCCAGGTCCACCTGCCTCGTCTCCAGCTCCAGGGCCGCCAGCGCCACCACGTGCACCTGGCCGTTGCGGTGCATGCATGCATGCATGCATGCATGTATGTATGTATGTGTATGGATGCATACATGTATGTGTGCATGTAATATATGTATGTATCTATGTATGTATGCATCTACGTATTTATGTATTTATGTATTTGTGTGTGTGTGTGAATGTGTATGTGCATTTGTTTGTGCATGTGAAGGTGCATGTGTATGTGTATGTGTATGTGTATGTATGCATGTACGTATGTATGTGTGCATGTGTGTGTGTGTGTGTATGTATGTGTGTATGTATGTATGTATGTATGTATGTATGTATGTATGGCTGGCTGTCTGTCTGTCTGTCTGTCTGTCTCTGTCTGTCTGTCTGTCTCTGTCTGTCTCTGTCTGTCTGTATGTATGTATGTGTATGTACGTATGTATGTACGTATGTATGTATGTATGTGTGTGCATGTGTGTATGCATGTATGCATGCGTGCATGCATGCATGCATGTATTTATGTGTGTATGTATATATATATATATATATGTATATGTGTGTTTGTGTATGTATGTGCATGTTTGCGTGTGTGTGTGTGTGTGCATTCGTGTGTGTATGTGTCGGTATGTCTGTGTATGTATATATATATATATGTGTGTGTGTATGTATATATATATAGATATGTGTGTGTATGTGTATGCGAGTGTGTGTGTGTGTGTATGTGTCTGTATGTATGTGTATGCATGTATGTATGAATACGTGTGTGTGCACGTATGTATGTATGTATGTATGAATGTATGTACGAACGTATGTATGTATGTAACTGTATGTATGTGTGTGTGTGATGTAATGAATGTAATGCAATGCAATGTATTGTAACTTAACGTAATGTAGTGCAATGTCATGTAATGTAATGTTATTGTGTAATGTAACGTAACGGAATGCAGTGAAATGTAATGCAATGTGTGCGCAATGTGTACAATGTGATGTAATGTAATGTAAGGTAACGTAGTGAAATGAATGTGTGTATGCATGCATTTATGTATGTAGGGGTGTGTATGCATGCATGCATGCATGCATTGCATGCATGCATGCATGCATGCATGCATGCATGCATGTCTGTACGTATGCATGTATGTATGTATGCATCCATGTATGTATGCATGATGCATGCATGTATGCAAGTAGGTGGGTAGGTAGGTGGTAGGTAGGTAGGTAGGTTTGCAGGTATGTAGGTGAGCGTGAGCATGTGCCGCTGCCACACTGCTCCCCAAACGCAATGTGCAAGGCTATGCTATGCAATGCAGCATGACGATTGACGTTGACTTTAAGGGAATGACTGCAAAGCGCCAGCATTGCATTCTAGACTGCACAGCGTATTTTGGTGAGTCGCGGAGGGCTGCGTGCGCACCAGCACAAAAAATGCATCACGGCCATGAAGCCACAGCACACACGCAAGAAACATGCCACACACAGGTTACCAGCAACTTGAAACTTGCCAACTGGGCACCTGCCCAGATTACGCTCGGAAAGAATGTTAAGCGTTACCTTCATGACTTTCCGGCCGCCATTAGGAAAGCACGGCCGCTCACTCGGCCTTCCAGATGTCCCCTTCTGGAGGAGATCCTTCACTTTGGGAAGAACTTTTCTACTGGTCCATCCGCGGTCGACATCAGGGATTTGTTCTGACCGGAGGAAAACCATCTTCTTCTTTTTTTGGGGGTGGGGGTGGGGTCCCCTAAGAACGACACACCCATCATGTGTGTGTGCCTTGGATTTTTGTCCTTGGGGGGAAATTCCCTAAAAATAGACGCACCAAACGCAGAAAGCCACCGGCAAACCGCCGCCCTCCCCAAAAGGTTATGGACCCCCAAGCCAAGCTGGTGGCTTTCCTGTTCAATGTTCAACCCTCTAGGATTTGTCTGGCTGTTCCATCATAGAAGCACAGTCAAGGGCAAACCGTGTGTGTGTATGTTCTGTTTTTTGTCATTGGGGGGATCCCCCCCACCACCGGGGAGAACCGCGCGCGACACCAACCGCTGCAAAAGCGTCGTTCGGCCTCGCGCGGGGTGAGGCTCAGCTGCCTCTGCTGCACCTGCCGCAGCTTCTCCGCCAGCTGGGCCTCCTGAGGCACCGGCAAAGGCGACACCCGAAACCCCGGCGGCGGAAACCCGGGGGTTCGGCGGTTGCCTCGAGAAAAACGGCGCTGGTCGGCTTCCCTCTGATTTTTAGGGGTGGTTTGGATTCTGATGTGAAGCCTCTAAGAACTTAATTGGTGGTTTGGTGGACTTGGATTTGCTGAAAGGGAGTACTGCACACACCACACCAAGGGGAAAACGCGCCGAACATCTTCTATTAAGCAAGTCCATTGTTTCCGTTTCCTGGGGGGTGGTTTGGACTTGGATTTGAAGCGCGAATTCTTGTTGAAGGTAGATGGGAAACCGCCCCTTAGCCATCAGACAAACCATTTACAACCCACAAATTGGAGGGAAGCCGTTGGTGGGGTCGGTTGGCCAAAGTTCAAGCTGAGTCCGGATCTAAGTGGCGCCCCTGGCTTTGATCGGGGCGTGTCCCATGGTCAACATCCGGTTTGCGGGTTTTTTCAGGCCTTCCGGGGGTTGCAAGTGCCAAACTTGTCGATCCGCAGGCCCAAAGAGCGAAAAGAAGGTCCTGGTACTTGGGTGTCTTGTTTTGAGGGCACCCCCTCTTGTTGTGGCTTTCAAGGGGAGCCGAAAGGAAGCCCACAATTTTACCCTACCTGCTGTAGCTCTGAACCCCAAGTCCCATGCTGTGTGCCGGTTCTCTAAAATCCAGATACGCCTTCGCAAGTCACTCGGCACGCGCGTCTCCTTTCCCAAAGCCTTGGCCAGCGACAGGAACTGCTTCGGCCACTTGCAGTCCAGATTGTGCTTCGACTTCCCTGGCCTCGAATCAAACTCCGAAATCACCCGCTGCGTGGCACCAAGTTGACAAACGGTCCTCTCCCCAGCCAGCAAGATTTCAGAGAGACTCTTTGAAGCACCACTCAGGTGCTACTGAGGCCTTATTCGCAAAACGGTGCCTCCTTTGTTGCCGCATAAGGGTTAGTGCCAAAATGGGAGGATTGCCCAGTTCCACTGGGCAGCTCCCCTCAGCAGCTGATGGGAGTAGGATTGATGCCACTCCCACAGCGAGGGAGGAATCCTCCCACCTCACCGGATGCCCTCCCGGCATCATGGGTGAGGAAGGAAAGTAGCGAAGATCAGCTTGATCAATTCGCTTTCGACTGAGGGGAAGACCCGGTTCTCAGTCGGAAATTGCGGGTCCGGATGAGTAAGTTCATCCGCCCATGTGTTAAAGTCGCGCTTCACATGCGACGGTCCTAACATGACCTGGTGGTCATGCAGTGTTAACACAATTTCCATGAGGATGGCCGCATTGGGCATCCTGCGAGTGGAATCGTTAAGCAGGGAGAAAACGTTTCCCTGGTTATCACTAGCAACCAGAATCCTAGTGTGAGAAGCCGAGCCGGCTGCACAAAGCAGAACAGCCCTCACCAAAAGGAGGAGGCCGAAGAGCTCCAAGGCCGCTATCGCCCGCTGCGGGTCCCCAGTAGTGAAGGCCCACGGCTCGCCCTCCGGTGTGATTCTGTGTTGGAACCACTTCACTCGGGACTTGTCGGGGTTGGGCACGTCCGAGCACCAACCACCAACCCATGCATGGTCCGCCTGTTTGCCAGCTCCCGCATCAGATGCCCCCGTCCATGGAAGTGTGGGAGCAAATGGAGATGCCAGTGGGAACCTCTGGTTGAAGAGCTTCCCCAGAAGGATGGCCAGAGCACGAACCAGCTTCGGTGGCCTGCCCGAAGTGGTGCAGGCCTTCTTCCAGCTCCAAAAGGGCTGGAGGAAAGGTTTCGTCAATGGACACGCCGAAGTAGCCCATTGAATCCGGCCCAGGGCTTGTTCCACCTCCTTGCTGGTAAAGATGTCCCCCTGGGCCAGCCGTTTGAGAGTGGCCAGGATTATGACGTGCTTGACTGGAGCCAGCAGCACACAGGGCGTGATTGGGTCCACCACGAATCCCAACCAGGTATTGACCGGGGAGAGCGCCGTCTTCTTCCAAGAAAGCGGGACTCCCAGCGCCAGAAGAGTGGCCAGGATGGCTGTGGCGTCCCAGTCCGCCCTGCTGCATCTGAGGACCCAGCAGTAGTCGTCCACAAAAACTAAGTGCCAGTCCACCTGAGGGAAGATGTAGTACAAGAGTCTGAGCACCAAGGATGCCTTTCTTCCCCAGTACAGTTGTGCCGAGGCCATGCCGTACGTGCCCACTCTATTGACCCACCACCGGTTCTGGATGCAGGCCACCTGGTATTTCCAGTCTTTCTGGAGCACTTTTATGCGCCTGTGGGCCTTGGTGACATCCGCCTTGAGGATGATGAAGGTTTCCCCCTGTGTCGGCGGCTGCCACGTCAGGGGTTCCCCCCTGCTCCCCCCGGGGCGTTCCGTGCCTGGGGGGGTTGGGGGGAATGGGGCCCTCCTATCAGGGCCCTCGGCACCTGGGAGTGGCCCCTTCCCTGAGGGTGTTGACCGCGGAGAGACGTCCAGGCCGCCGGAGGTCTCCATCATCCGCCTGCCCCTATCAGGGCCCTCGGCACCTGGGGGCAGGCTGGTGCTGTGGGGGTCCCTCTCAGGGCCCTCGGCACCTGGGGACTGCCCCTGCACCGGCTGGTGAACATCCCGAGGTTCCTCATCAGTGCCCGAGGATGGGGCTCGGAGTAGATGAGGATGGTCCGCCGCTGTCCTGAGCCAGTGGATGGCATGGAGGCAGTCTCCAACCATCGGTGCGGTGGTCTTCTCCTCCGTGTGAGCCTGGATGTGTGCGTTTGCTCCCCCTTTTGAGCCATCATAGATCGTCCTGATCTTGTCCGACTCATCAATCCCTGCAAGGGGGCCCGGGCAAAGTTCCTCCGGTTTGCAGCGGCACCTCTCTGCCGCCTCGGAGCGAGTGAAGGGCCCGTCCACCATGTCCAAGGCTCGTTCCTCGTAAAAGGTTGATTCGATTTCCTTGGCAAAGAGTTCAGCCGTTGGGTAGTTATCATGAGCCACTGGCGGGGGGGGATCTTCCCCCAGCCATGCCTCTCCCTTGAGCTCCTCCTTAGTGGGCCAAACTCCCGGGGAGGTCAAGGTAGGGTCCGAGACTCCCAAGGGGACCCCCTCTTTCAGTGTCAGGGGGAACTCCCAATCAGGGTCACCTGAAAGGGATGCCAAGTGCGACACTAAGTCCAGGAGGAAGGGTTGTCCTGGGCATCGTTCATGGAGGTGCCTCGGTCCTAGGATAGCCCGCAGCTCCTCGAGGTCGGTTTCCTGGAAGGGGTGTGTGGTGGCACCTGATGCCAGGGACATCCGGACCTTATCAATCCAGGGCCTGGTAAGGGTCATGATCAGGGCGCCCAAAGTAGCCAAAGGGGAAACTCTCCGAAAAGGGGGGTTGAGCCTCCCCGGGGAAGGTTTCCCCCCCCCATCTCTCAGGGGGCGTGAACGGAAACCCAATTGGACAATCGCAACTCGGTCAGTGAGGCGTGGGACCCGGAAAGCGGGCAGGCATTCGGGGCGGTCCAGGACCTGGTCCCCATGTTCTTCCTTTTCCAGTTGTTCCGCATCTCCGGCCATCGGGGGCATGGGAGATGGGAAGTCTGGACTCATAGTTCCACGAGGGCTTACGGTGTCAGCCTCATGGTGGATGTGCCCGTGCTGGCGGGGCTTCGGGGCATTCTTGCCTCCGGGCTCTGGGCCCTGGTGTGACGAGGAGGGACCGCCTCCCTGATTGGGTCCCCGTTTTCCCCGGGGAGAAGGGCCCCCAGGGGGGTCCGACCCCCTTCCCTTAGGTGGTTCCTTAGGGTTTCCCGGGAATTGTGAGGGGATCCGGATGTGCCCCGGCGCTGCGAGTGACACAGCGATGGCTTTGGCCAGGCCTGCCATCATATCCCAGGGGTATCTGCTGAGAGTCGAGGACTCGCTGGTGCCCACATGTGACTGATGTGTGCACCGCATTTGATCCCAGTCCTGGATTGGGAGATCCGTGGCAAGTGTGGTGGCCTTCTTGACCAGCTGGCCCAGGCGGCACTGGTCGAAGGAGATTGCTGTCAAGGAGTTTTCCTCCATCCAAAGCTGCCCCTCCTCCGTGATCCAGAAGGATGAGCATTCCTTGGCTTTGGGCAGCGAGCTGCTCACCACTGGGTCCTCCGGGTGCTCCAAGAATTTTGGCCCTGGCAGCGAGGCCGCCGATCTTGAGGCCCTTGCCAGGCTGGTGATGTACATCTGCCTCAAAATGAGGGTACTGTCCTCATCAAGCTGAGTCTGGGCGGCCTGGTCCAGGTGTGGGAGGCCCCAAAGTGTCTCTCGAGTGCGTCCTCGCACCGGGGTGGGGGCCCCCGGTTTTGGTATGTGGCGCAGGATGGACCATGTCCTGCAGTTGGGTCCTCCCCCAATGAAGACCACTCGGCCCTGCTTTGCTGCCGTGCAGAGCGCTCCATACAGCTCGGGTTGGAGCATGTCGTGGTTCCCTTTTGGTCCGGATCGTAGGATGTCTACTGCCACCACCATGCTGGAGAGGTGCGGGTAGTTGGCATGAAGACAGCTGTCTAAGGAAGTTGGGTCTTCCTTGCCTGCATAGAGCAGGACAATGATGGGCCCACTGGATGGAACTTTGGGCGATGTGCCCTGTGTCCATCTCAGCCGCTGTGCCAGGCGCTCCGGGATGTTCTCCATCCACGGGAAGGTGTCCCCTCCCGGTGACAGCTCCGTGGGACTTGTCAGGGGGGTAGCTGAAAAGCGTTGGCCCCCTTCATTCAGCCCAACAGAACTCTTATGAAAAACCACCGGGTCCTGCTTGATGATGTTGGGCGCCGGAAGTGGGACCGGCTGCCTCCTGGGCGTGTTCCTCGGCGTTGCGGTGTGCTGCCAGTTGTCCGGCACTCGGGCCTGCTGGGCGCGGCCCCCCGTGTCAGGGCCCTTGGCACCTGCGGGGAACCGTCCCGCCCCTGCCATCTCAGGGCCCTCGGCACCTGTGGCACGGGGCCGCGGCGTTGCCGTTGTGTCAGCTGTGTGGTTGTTCTGACCCCAGCTGGGGTGTTGTGCACGCTGGTTCTGTCGTCCCCATCCTTGTTCCGCCGAGGAGGGCCGCCGCCTGGCCTGTCCCCCCCCTGTGTCAGGGCCCTCGGCACCTGCAGGAGGGGGCTCATGTGCCTGCTTGGGGCGTTTTCGCCCCCTCTCGCCCCCCCGGGCCCTATCAGGGCCCTCGGCACCTGAGGCCTCCCGGGGGGTCGGGGTCCGAGCCCCTAGTCAACCCGGGCAGTCCTGCGGGAGGTGGTCTCCCAGGCAGATGCGGCCCGTCGCCAGGATGAGGTTGCACTTGTGCGTGCGTCCGCAGTTGCCCGGGCAGCGCCCGCGCATCCAGTTGTTACAGAACTGGTTCCCTTTCGGATCGGTGGCCGCCTGCTTGTTACTGCCCCTGGAGGCCTGATTGTTCGGCTGGGGGGGCTTACCTTTCCCTTTGCTCCCAGGCTTGCCCCTGGACTTCCCCTTGCCCCTGGACTTGTTCTTGCCCTTCTGGGGTGGTGCGTAGTCCATGGATGTCCTGGTCTGTGGGCGGCCCCTGGAGAAGGTCCTGATCTTCTCATAGACCTCACGTGTCCAAAACAATGTGTCCTGCCTTACCGACAGCATGGCCGCCTTGAGGGTGCTGCCCTCATGCATCTGCTCGTGAATCTTCCGCCATGCATTGCGTTCGGCAATTGCCAGGACGTGGTCCTCGGGAGGGGGAAAACGGCCCCCGATGTCCTCCCCATAGAACCACTCATACCAGCTCTCCAGGTCCTCTCGGGTGATGTCGAACTGGCCGAACTGTGGAAACGATAGGACGCACATGAGGAGGGTGTTCCGGAACAC